ATACTTTAATACAGTAAGGTTATCTGTAAGCATTTTCATTGAAGTGTTAAAGTAATTATGGCTCTGAGTAAGTATGGTAGACAGCTCAAAACAGATAATACTTAGTAGTGTACTGCAGGGCAATGAAATAGACACTGTCTGACCTCTGTAGAGGGTGTTTTTGGTGCATCGTCGACTGAGAAGCTTTTTTTGATGAAATATCTTATAGGAAACTTGGACGATGAATCAACATTCATTCCTATATGGAACAATTTGGATTTCCCTATGGCTTTGTCAAGGGTGGCTACATGGTCTTCAGGATCTATCTTCATGTGCTGGGAAGCTTAGTATGCATCTAGCTCAACCAATTGTTCAGCTACAGCAGAGAATGCAATAGCATCCAGATTTCCTTAGTCATCTGTAAGTGTAAGTGGTAGCTTGTATCTACAGAATTGAAGATATATTAGTAATATGAAGAGTAATGTCTAAATGTGAGAGAAGGTGGTTTATGAATAGAGAGTGTACAGAGGTTTTGAATATGAATTTGTGCAACCACATGTTGTTGTATCTAAGATATTGTTGTAGCCTTTTTCACATTGCTTGCATCCCTTGTAGTACCATTTAGCTGATGTTATTATGGACAATACTTTTGCAATAGTATTGTATGTAGACCCTCCCTAAGATTTTGTGAAAAGAATTGCAGGAATAAGGATATCTTATACCAGTCTGTCTATGAACATATTAAGCTCAAGCAGAACTGTTGCAAACCTGAAAAGCTGAGGTGGCATCTGTGATATTTCTTCTAAAGTGTAAAGTTTGCCTGCTGCTTCAATTGGAGATAAACGTATGACCTGAGGCCGCTACTGTTGCAGAGGTGGAGATTGCCATTCATACCTTCAAAATATGATGTGAAAAAATGTCACCTTGTTTGTTTAATTTATACCTTAAAGAAAGGATTATAGCAACAGAGCTGACCTGGTTTGGTACTGTTTAACCTCATCTATATCCAAATTAATATAAATTCTGGTTGCAGAGGTTGATGTTGCATGCATATTACCTATATGTATAAATGTATAAATGGTTTGTCATTGCAGTTCTATGTAGACATATTTTTTTCAAAGATATGTTAAGCAGTCACCTAAGAACTTTGTTGCTGTCAGACCACATAAAATACCAACAACTTTGCCTTCCTTTGATTTTGCAAGTACTGCTTATTCATCAAATGTTTCACCATGGTGGCCCCAAAGACGGATTTCCTGTGTTCTTTCCCTACATATGTAAATGAGAATTGGTTGACAAAAAAGCTATATGGTTTATATTTAGTATGTATAACTAATTGCAGTGATAAGTGGAGCTTACTCTAGGTCCCGAATTTTGATCTTTCTAAGCTTGTTTGAAGATGTCGGGCTTGCATAATCATAAGGTCCAACATGGTTAATGACTCATATGATATCTGTATTGAAAAGGTGTATAAAATGTTATTGACATGTCAAATATAGTGGCATGCAATATAAGGAAAGAAATATGTTTGTTACATTGCAGTGGCTTTGTATGATTGTCCTTTTCTGGTAATTTATCATATGGGTAGAAACTGAATGCAAATTTTGGTATATCTGCTCCTGTTCATGTGTGATTTTACACCATATTCATATAGTATCTAGAG